GGCCCCTTTCTGCTGTGTTGTACTTCCAGCAGACATCTGGTAAGTTGAAGTCCCCCACAAGAACAAGGGCTAGTGAACGCAAGATATCTCCAAGTTGTTGAAAGAATGTCTCGTCAGTCTCTTTATCCTGGTCAGGTGGTCTGTAGCAGATTCCCACTAGGATATCAACCTCATTGGCCTTCCCCTTTATCCTTACCCATATGCATTCTGCCTTGGTGTGTCTAACATTGAATTCTAGGCAGTCAAAGCACTGCTTAACATATTAACGCCACCCCACCACCTCTCTTGCCTTGCCTGTCCTTTCTAAAGAGCCTGTAGCCATCCATTGCAGCACCCCAACCATGCGAGTCATCTCATTATGTTTCCGTGATGGCAATTATATCATGGTCTCCCTGGTGCACAATAGCTTCTAACTCTTGTTTATTTCCCATGCTATGAACATTGCGTATATAAACTTGAGTTGCTGTACAGATATCCTAACCACTTGCGTGGTTACTATCCTATTAGTGAGCCCTGTGTTTTTGTTGCTGCATTTATCCCCATTTCCCACCTCAAGTGGGACAGCAGACTGGCATCCGTCCTTAGGCTCATCTCTGGTGAGCCTGGTTTCATTTCCATCCCCCTTCAGGCCTAGTTTAAAGCCCTTTCAATGAGCCCTGCTAACTTGTGCCCCAGGATCCTTCTCCCCTTTCGGGTTATGCTTCTCCCACCTGTTGCCATGCCTGGTGTCCTGTAGGTCCATCCATGATCGAAAAAGCCAAAGTCCTGTTGGTTGCATCAGTCCCAGAGCCAGGAGTTAATTTTCTGGCTCTTCCTGTTTATCCCCTCATCAATCCCTGCTACTGGTGGGATAGAGAACACCACCTGTGCTCCTGATCCCATAACCAGCCGTCCCAGGGCCCTGAAATCTCTCTTCATTGCCCCTAGACATCTGGTAGCTGCCTCATCCCTGCCTACTTGGAATAACAGTAATGGGTAGTAATCTGAGGGCTGACATCTCCCACTAGACCAGGTTGCTCAGTGTCCTGTCCAAACTGTCCTTAAACACATCCAGGGATGGGGCATCCACAACTTCCCTGGGCAACCTGGGCCAGTTCCTAGCTGTATTCTCACAGTGAAGAGTGATAACTCTTGTATCTGTCTTGTGTGTATGTGTATATGTTTCCAGATAGATAAGCATCCAGTTTGTTAACACACAGCAATTCTGAAAAAATGTTTACCTACATTTTAAGTTGCTTTCTAATGCACTTTACTAACTGAAGTAAAAAACCTTCACATTGAAAATGCTGTGGATCTCTTCTGGTTGTTGACCAGTGCTCTGATCCACTGCCTGGCTGTCAGTGTCTGAAAAACGTTAAAGGGGAAGACTTGGAAAAATCCCATTAGTGTCCAGTACGTCTTGTCTTTCAGCCAGATTGAAATGGTGGATGACTTCCTATTTGTGTTGAAAATATTCTCCTTTGTAGAGGCAGGAAATCTTAACTCATAATATCTCTAAACTGCAACTCCGGACCCCTTGGAAGTAATCATAATTTATTGGCACAGTTAACCACAGAATGGTGTAGGGGTTGGAAGGGACCTCTGGAGATCATCTAGTCCAACCTCCCTGCTAAAGCAGGATCCCCTAGAGCAGGTGACACAGGATCACATCCAGGCAGGTTTTTAATGTCTCCAGAGAAGGAGACTCCACAACCTCCCTGGGCAGCCTGTTCCAGTGCTCTGTCACCCTCACAGTAAAGAAGTTTTTTCTCATGTTTAGATGGAACTTCCTCTGTTACAGTTTGTGTCCATTGCCCCTTGTCCTGTCGCTGGACACCACTGAGAAGAGTCTGGCCCCATCCTTCTGACACCTGTCCTGTAGATATTTATAAGTACTGATAAGATCACCTCTCAGTCTTCTCTTCTCCAGGCTAAACAAACTCAACTCTCTCAGCCTTTCCTCATAAGAAAGATGCTACAGTCCCCTGATCATCTTTGTAGCCCTTCACTGGTCTTTCTCCAGTAGTTCTTTGTCTTTCTTGTACTGGATGCAGTATTCCAGATGTGGCCTCACTAGGTCAGAGTAGAGGGGCAGGATAACATCCTTCGACCTACTGGCCACACT